TGTTTGACTCGTTAATTATTATTATTAGGGTCCAGATTCTAGGAAGTTACCTGTTAACTTGTAGGTTTTTGTCTGTTAGAGATGCAAGTGATTCCTATTCTGTATAAAAGACAATCCTAAACATTATAGTGTATTCACCTGTAGGACATAAATTAGATTTCCCTTTAACCTAGCTAACTTATTTCAGCATGTCTTTTCTGCTATATAAACCTCTGTTCCATGAATTCTCCTTCACCCAGATTTATAATCTCTCTGGTCCCTTCATTAAATGTGTTAGATTAGTATTTGACACATGCTCACTATATATTTGATGACAGCATGTTTTTAACTCTTAGAGGGAGACTCAGCCTAAAAAAATAAAGAAAATTATCCTTTGGCATTCATTTAACAAATATTTATCGAACAACTTTTTTTTTTCTTTTTTTTTTTTTAAGATGGAGTCTCGTCCCGTCGCCCAGGCTGGAGTGCAGTGGCGCAATCTCGGCTCACTGCAACCTCTGCCTCCCAGGTCCCAGTTCAAGGAATTCTCCTGCCTCAGCCTCCCAAGTAGCTGGGATTACAGGTGCGTGCCACCACGCCCAGCTAATTTTTGTATTTTTAGTAGAGATGGGGTTTCGCCATGTTGGCCAGGATGGTCACGAACTCCTGACCTCAAATGATCCACCTGCCTTGGCCTCCCAAAGTGTTGGGATTACAGGTGTGGGCCACCGCACCCGGCCTATTGAACAACTATTATAGGCATCTTAGTCTGTTTAGGCTGCTAGAACAGAATACCATAGACTGGGTAGCTTATAAACAACAGAAATTTATTTCTAACAGTTCTGGTGATTGGGAAATTCAAGATTACAACACTGGCATATTTGGTATCTAGTGATAGCCTACTTACTGTTTCACAGATGGCCTCACAAGGCAAAAGGGGCAAAGGAGCTCTCTGGAGCTCCTTTTATGAGGACACTTATTCTATTTTTGAAGGTACTACCCTCAAGACCTGATCAATTCCCAAAGACCCACATCTCCTAATATCATCACACTAGGGGTTAGGAGTTCAACATATAAATGTTGAGGGAAGCCTGGGCAACAATGGCAAAACCTCATCTCTACCAAAAAAAAAAAAATATATATATATATATATATATATAAATAATACATATATCTAGTGTATATATAGCACATATATCGTACATATATAGTGTGTATATATACATATATAGTACATATATATAGTGTGTATATATATACACACACATGCGCACACACACACACAAAAATCGGCCTAGCATGGTGGTGCCCAGTAGCTGCCAAGTCCCAGCTACTTGGGGGGCTAACCCTCAGGGATCACTTGAGCCCCAGGGGTCGAGGCTGGAGTGAGCCATATTCGCCCTACTGCAAAGGGTCTCAGTTTGTCACCCTGTCTCAAAAAAAAAAAAAAAAAAAAAGGAAAATACAGGGGGAGATATTACAGAGAACAAGATACATGTGGTCTCTGCCCTCACACAGCAAACATTCTAAAGGAAGAAAGATTGCAAATACATCAATAAATTGTAGACTATGATTAGGGCAATTAAGAAAAATACGTAAAGTGCTGTGACAGAGATTATTGGGGTAGGCAGTCACAGCAGGCCTCTCTGAGAAGGTGACATGAAGCTGAGACTTGAAAGACAGAAGCCAGCTCTGCAAAGAGGGAGCCGGGAAAGGTTCCAAGAAGGAAGCAACAAGCACAGTGGCCCTGCAGTGGAGCCAGCTTCAGAGTGTCCTGGGAACTAGAAGGCCAGATGACAAGGGTGGGATCCATCAAAGGCAAGATGGCCTGAGATGTAGTCAAAGAGGTAGTGTGGAAATTAAACTTTTAACGTCAGGACTTGTCATTACTAAGAACTAAGGAAGGAAGAAGGGGGCTGATCGCCACCTAGAAACTGGGTGGCCTTCACATCTTAATTATTTTATTATACTATTTTATTTTTGATACAGGGTCTCACTCTGTCACCCAGGCTCGAGTGCAGTGGTTCGAACATGGCTCACTGCATCCTTGACCTCCTCCTGGACTCAGGTGATCCTCCCACCTCAGCCTCCTGGGTACCTGGGACTACAGACACACACCACCAAGTGTGACTAATTTTTTGCATTTTGTGTAGAGTTGGGATTTCACCATTTTACCCAGGCTGGTCTTGAACTCCTAGGCTCAAGCAATCTGCCCACCTTAGACTCCCAAAATGCTAGGATTACAGGTGTGAGCCACCATGCCTGACCACAACTTAGTTATTTTAACACATCAGATTATCGGCTTTCTTTTAGCTTTCTTAAAGTTAATATCTTGCATACCATGGTGCAGTACATTTTTCAAAAATAAAAGATTGATCCTGGTACAATACTATTAACTATTCTACTAAACTCAGACTCTTCCAATTTCTCCAGTTTTTCCACTATATTATTTTCTCTGTTCCAGGATACCACATTGCATCATTTGTCATATCTCTTTAGTCCCCTCTAATCTGTGACAGTTTCACAGTCTTTCCTTGTTTTTCTTGACCTTGGCACTCTCAAAGAGTGCCAGGTATTTTGTAGACTGTTTCCCAATTTGAATTTTTCTGATGTTTTCTCATGATTAGACTCAGGTTATGAATTTTAAGACGAAACAACAGAGGTCATGTGACAAGCATTCTTTTACTTCTTTTTTTTTTCATTCTTGGCTCACCAAAAAAAAAAAAAGCCTGACTGAGAACTGTCTTGTGACACTCAGGGGAGGAGAGATTTTGTAATATTCAGGTGAAGAAGGGGAAGGTTTTCATGAAACTGAGGTGGGGAGAAGGATTTCATGTTATTTCACATGATTATAAGTGAGTAAGTTCAAAAGTCTGGCTTTGGGTCGGGTGTGGTGGCTCACGCTTATAATCTCAGCACTTTGGGAGGCCAAGGCAGGTGGATCACCTGAGGTCAGGAGTTCAGGACCAGCCAGGGCAACATGGCAAAACCTTGTCTCTATTAAAAATACAAAAAATCAGCCAGGAGTGATGGCACACACCTGTAATCCCAGCTACTCAGGAGGCTGAGACACGAGAATCACTTGAACCCGGGAGGTGGATGTTGCAGTGAGCTGAGATCATGCCATTGCACTCCAGCCTGGGTGACAGAGCGAGACTCCGTCTCAAAAACAAGTCTGGCTTCAGTCAAATACTCTGATAGCATGCATATCAAATAGGACACAGTGTCCAGCAAAATTTTTAAAAGCTGGGGTTTCGCTAAGGTTTGAACCCTTTCTCTCATGGGGAGTTTAAGTCATGTGAAGCTCTATTGTGGGGTTGTTTCTGTTCATCAGTAGGTAAAGATAGTGTCGCACACAATTAGATTTGAAGTGATTCCAAAACTAGGGGAAGTTGGCAAAGGGTTTTAGACCAGAGACTGGTATTCCGAGCTGAAGAAACAGTATAGTGAAAGGCATGTAGGCGTGAGGGAGCACTTGGCATATTCAAGTAATTGGATTGCTTGAAGGGTAGGATGAGCAAGGGAAGCAGTGAGAGATAAGATTAGAAAAGAGTCAGAGGCCACAGCAGGAAGGGCCTTCTATACCATGTGAAGGTATTCGGGATCTTATAAAAGATCCGGAAGTCAACAGTTCACTTCATTCTGAACCATGGTCCAAAGCCCAGCTCGATCCAATTACCTTGCAAGTTTAAGTCACACATTTCAGGCAAAGGTAAGGGGCAAGTTCACCATTTGCTCAGGCAACATTCCTTATCAGTTGGTCAAGACTGTTAGCTAACATGTTATGGAAAACAGCACCTTGTTACTATTGGATCGGCCATCACCAATATTTATTTTGCTTGCGCTACTGAAAGGAGTGGTTGTGTGTCTCAGACATCCTCATTCATTTCTTGTACTGACTGTGTGATTACATGTTCTCTTTTTCTCTAGATCTTTCTATCTTCTCCTTTATAGTTGCCTTGGCACCTTCCACTAATCATTAAATGTTGATTCAATCTCAAGCCCTTTTCTCACCCTATGCTCTTCCTCCCTATATGATTTTATCTAGCCTTGCGCTTCCCTTGATAGCCATGTCCTGAAAATTTGTTTGTTTGTTTATTTATTTTCTTGAGACAGAGTCTTGCTCTGTTGCCCAGGCTGGAGTACAGTGGCTCAATCTCGACTCACCGCAACTTGCGCCTCCCAGGTTCAAGCAATTCTCCTGCCTCGGCATCCTGAGTAGTTGGGATCGCAGGTGCCTGCCACCACACCCAGCTAATTTTTGTACATTTAGTAGAGACAGGGTTTTGCCATGTTGGCCAGGCTAGTTTCAAACTCCTGACCTCAGGTGATCTGCTTGCCTCGGTCTCCCAAAGTGCTGAGATTACAGGCGTGAGCCACCGTGCCTGGCCAACGTCCTGAAAATTTAAAAATCTATTCCACCTGAATTGCCACCTAAAGCTCTAGGCTGTACTTTTAACTGGTTCCTGGCTTCTGACCCTTCTGTAACACATGAACCTCAAGCTCAGCATGTTCAAAACAAAACTTTGGGGGGTCAGGCACGGTGGCTCACGCCTGTAATCTCAGCACTTTGGGAGGCCAAGGCAGGCGTATCACAAGTTCAGGAGATTGAGACCATCCTGGCTAACACAATGAAACCCCATCTCTACCAAAAATACAAAAAACTAGCTGGGTGAGGTGGCGGGTGCCTGTAGTCCCAGCTACTCGGGAGGCTGAGGCAAGAGAATGGCATAAACCCGGGGGCGGAGCTTGCAGTGAACCGAGATCACGTCACCGCACTCCAGCCTGGGCGACAGAGCGAGAATCCGTCTCAAAAAAAAATAATAATAAATATGTTTACAAATCATAGTAATTGTTTTTCCTCTTGATTCAACATTTCTCCCTCCCCTAACAGGAGCCCTAGAGCCTGAAGAGCATGTACATTACTAACCAAATATACAATCCAGCCGCCCTGTCCAAACAGGAATCTGATTACTAATGGACGAGAATCGGGGCTGCCCTCAAGGGATGGGAAGCAGTAACTATGATCTCAGGGAGAATGGGTACTGAGGGTGCCACCAGTCAGAGTCAAAAGCTGTGCACTGGGTCCAGGATGACTTGTGCACCCTGTTCACTGTGCAGTTTCCGACCACCACAGACAGGGGAATCTTGGAACACCAGTCTCACTCGATGATGCCACATGTCCGTGCTCACATTGATAGTAAACAGAGTGAATATCATTCCCATGACAATGGGAATAAAGATGAAATTGAGGGTGGTGACTTGCAGTAGGCAGCAGTCCTGGTATGGATCAGTATGAACATCTTGGTACTGAACGGGAGGCTGCAATCCTCCTGTACACTTGCTCTTTAACCTAGGGGACTGTTTTTTTAACTTGAAGTTGAATTTCCACATTGGTTCCTGTCTTTTCCCAACAATCTTTCTGCACCAGAAAAGTAAGTATTTGGAATTCTTTAATGTGCTTTAAAGCACATTAAAGCACCAGAAAGTGCCAGAAAGTACCAGAAATTCTTTAAAGCACCAGAAAGCTGGGGGTGCTTTCCGGAATGGCTGGATTCTTGGAGATTGGAGCAGCAAATGGCTCATACATATATGGTACAGAGATCGGATCACACAAGCCCGGAGAGAGCGCAGCTTCTCCATTGACTCTGGTCTCAGACGCAAAGGCAGGGAAGCATCCAGCGTGTAGTGCCTTCGGTACAACCTGATCCAAAAGGCAGCAGTGCAAATGACAGTCCAAACATTCTTACAAATCAGAGAAAATTTCACAAGGTCCTCAAGACGGATATAGGAAGCCAGCAACAGCGAAATATCCATGGGATACTCCTCTCCTCCAGCCCGCTCCAGTTCTTCTTTGTGCCTCTTGCTTTTCTTTTTTCTGGAGACAGTTCTCTCACGGATGCTTTCTTCCTGGGCGTCCATCTCATCACTGCTGTCGATGATGTCACAGGGCTCACCAGCCCCAGAAAGAGCTTCCTCTGCAGGAACCTGAGAGGCTTCCAAGCCACAGAGATTTTACTTCCTGCTGAACAGCGTTGGCTACGGCTTTCTTGACTCGTCCAGACCTCACGACCGGCGGATCCGAGTTGGCGTAATCCGTCTTGGTCACTCTGCCGAAGCAGGCGTCGTGGGCCTGGAACTTCGGTCGCTTTCCTCTGTTGGGCATGGCTACCGTACCGGGGCGTGGCCTGCCTAGCGGGCGGGGCCCGGGGTCCTGTCTCCCGCGTGAGAGCCGGCCCCGGAAGCCGCACGCCAGCTCCGCCCAGCTCCGCGGCCACCCACACCGGAGGCCGCTAACTCGCCTACGACTGGCTATTTTTTGTATTTTTTGTAGAGACGGGGTTTCGCCATGGCCTCAAACTCCTGAGCTTAAATCCTCCCGCCTCAGGCTCCGATGAGCCACTATGCCCGGCCAAATTTGTCGATTTTTATACCCATGTTTTCCCCTTTTCCCCATATACTTGATGTCACATCTTCATCTCTCATCTGAACTATTATTTCATCATAGGACTTACCACTCTCTGTAGTGATTTATTCGGATTACATCTATGTTGAGGAATAGGCACCGGATGCTCTGTGGCGCTAGTTCTTACCCATATATGTATGAAACCTGGGCAAGCCCCATAGTTTATCTTTCATTCTAAGAGGTAAAAAATATTCCGATCACGGCTGGACGTGGTGGCTCACTCCTGTAATCTCAGCACTTTGGGAGGCCGGGGCAGGCAAATCACTTAAGGCCAGGAGTTCAAGACCAGCCTGGCCAAGATGGTGAAACCCTGTCTTTACTAAAAATACAAAAATTAGCTGGGCATGGGGGCTCGCACCTGTAATCCCAGCTACTCCGGAGGCTGGAGCAGGAGAATCACTTGAGCCTGGGAGGCAGAGGTTGCAGTAAGCCGAGATCAGCCATTGCACTCCAGGCTGGGCAACAA